ATCATGATTTGCGATTGCGCATCATGTATGAGTGTCACGATGCCCCAACAAGCGGCCATCGTTGTAGAGAAAAGACTTACCTCACGGTAAGTCGCGACTTTTACTGGCCCCGCCAGTATCAGTTTGTTCGCAAGTACATCCGTGCTTGCGAAGTATGTCAACGGGTGAAGCCTAGTCCTTCATCCCGTGCGCCATTGCAGCCTCTGCCTGTTCCGACAGAGTGCTGGCAGTCCGTTTCAATGGACTTCGTCTTCGGGTTTCCCGAAGACGCTCAAAAGAATAATGGTATTCTTGTGTTTGTGGACCGATTCAGCAAGATGGTCCATCTTGCTGCTGTCCCTGAGTCAATCAAGGCTCAAGGTTGTGCTCGTGTCTTTCTAGACACGGTCTTTAGACTCCAAGGGTTACCCCGTGAACTCGTATCCGACCGTGACCCTCGGTTCACGGCGGAATTTTGGCAAATCGTGTTCCGTACTCTCGGAACACGATTGAAGATGTCCACTTCTGACCATCCAGAAACAGATGGTCAGACGGAACGTGCGAACCGTGTCCTCGAAGAGATTCTTCGAGGATATGTCCACTCGTTTCCGAGTTGGAGCGAATTCCTACCCATGGTGGAATTCGCCATCAATAATTCGGTGCATGCTTCAACACAGCACACACCGTTTTACGTGAATGGCCTACGCCATCCACGTGTGCCCACCCTTCTAGAGTGTGACTCTTGGATAAGGGGGGGAGGGACTCGCTCGAGCAAAAACCATTTTGGCTCTTGCTCATCACGTGTCGACGCAAACGTCGTCACGTATGATGCCGATGTCGATCAAGTCGACATCGATGAAGAAGATCATCTCAATAATAGCGAAGACGCTATTATTGATTCGGATGATGATGACGATGCTGGTATATTCAGCATCGCCAACGATTATTCCAGCGAGGAAGAAGACAACCTCGCTGAAGAAGAGAGCAATCTCTTAGCAGTGCGCACGAAGCGAACTGCTAGACAAAACAAAGAGTCAGCAGAGAACTTCCTGCTGACTCGAGAAGCGGTAGTCCGTTTCGTTCAGGACTCCATCGCAAATGCGGTGGACCGTCAGAAACGGAACGCAGACAAGAATGGAAGAGCAAATGTTCTTTCATTTAAGGTTAATGACCTAGTACTACTGTCAACGGTAAACCTACCTGGACATGCAGTCACTAGTGTCGGCAGTAGTAAACTACTGCCGAAATACATTGGGCCATTTCGAGTGTTGCAACGCAAGGGCAATGCATACACACTCGAATTGCCACGTAGGATGCGCACGCATCCTACGTTTTACGTGGGTAGGCTTAGGTCTTAATGTCAGTACGAGCCTTCTTCTTTCGATGAAGATAGCCCCCACGTTCAAGAACATCCATCAAGTTCTTGCGTTCGCGCTCCAGACGATCCGTCTGGTCGCGCAGATATGATACCTCGGAGCTCAACCGAGATATCTCCCCGTGAGCTGTCGCCAGCTCGCCGAATAGAGAGCGGACATCCCGCTCAACCTGAAGCTGCGCTGTGGCAAAATCGTCGCGATCCCTCGCCCGATCAGCCTCGTGATCCTTGCGGTCCTTCCACACGGAATCAGTCAAAGCGTAGCGCCGGTCGCGCTCGTGCTTCAAGTCATCGCGCAATTCATCGATTGCGTGATCCATCTCGTAAGGGTCGAGATGGTGAGCCGAATCATCTGGAGGAAGTCTTTCCTCCTCCACCACATCCTTTGGTGGATGCTCACGGTGATCAACGCTTTCTAGTGGAGCGTATCTTGAATCACCGTGACGATTCAGGATCAAGGACGAGCTACCTCGTCCAGTGGCCGGGGTATCCACCCTTTTGGAACAGCTGGGAGCCCCGCTCTCAGCTGTTGATGGGAGTTGAAGGTCTCGTCCGCCAGTATGACGAGATCCATCCGATGAGTCCTGTGGTCCATCGGTAAACACGCGCCCTAGGCGCTTGTAGACGGATTGCAAGTTTGCAATCGCGTCACGCATCTCAGCCGAGATGTGTGCCCTTCCCCAGGGCGAATTTAGGAAATACACATCCCTATGTGCACGCTGCGAGTTGTCAACACAAATCGCACAAGGGTCTCCCCATGTGAGGCAAGGAATGCCTGCCTCACTCGATAAACAATGCAACCGGTACCTAGCACCGGTTGGCGTTCGCCTTTCGAACCTGAGGCGTGTCGCCTCAAGTTTCTTGAGCCACCCTTCTCGTCCAAAATTCTGTACGTTTTGGACGAACGCGTTCCACGCAGCCAAAAGCGATGCTTTGTCACGCTTTTGGTTGCTGTTGTACCATCGATGTCTAAGAAAGACATCGAGATAAAAATCTTCTTCAGCGCGAAAGTTCTTCGCGCTGGAACTCAAGCCGTGAAGCTCAGTTGCATCGAATAAGGGTATTCGATGGTGTTGGCCTGTCTCGTGAGACAGGCTATTGATGAGCCGTTCAGGCAAACGCCACGGCTTCAACTCATCACGCTTCACAGTGGTACCCTTGTCGGTACCACGGCTCCCAGATTGACGACGGCTCGCGCCATCGTCATCACGCTCGTGCGAAGACGCACGAGCCGGTGGTGGTAAGGAATAATATTCCTCACCACCCTGATCATCATCATCATCACTGCCGAACAGACTGTGATGAAAATCACGAGTCCGTTCGTTCGGCAGTGGCCTTGGCGAATACTGAGGCGTCGCCGGTGAGCGAGACGCCTCTGGAGCATTGCCCGAGTCAGACACGTCTGACTCGCCAGAGTAGATGACCTCTATGTCAGGGTCATCGTGCGCACGCGGTGTGATACCGCGTGCACCTGCAGCACCTGTTGCTGCAGGCGAAGAAGGGGCGGCAGACGACAAAGAGTCTGCCGCAGAGGCTGGCAAAGCACCGGGCTGTGTAGGTCTTGAGTCACCTCGCATAGAGATGTTAACTATGCGAGGTCAAGCGGAAAGTAAATGGAACGGACCCAACAAGTGCTCCCTGTCCCAATGGTGGCCAACGGGTGGCCTCCATATTTTCGATAGTCACACGGTGACTATCAGCTAAGGGGGGGTGATGTAACGGGGCAGCCCGTTACATGAAATTGTCACTTTAAGGAAAGTGACATTAAAGAATATGAAGATGGATATTCTTTAAACAATATCGCCAAAGTGGTGATATTGAAGGGTCGACCAAAAGATCTGTTCATTGGTTGAAATCTTGATGATATCAACCCACCAATCGCCGCAAGACGTGCGCAATGAGTGGTGACGAGACGTCACCATACATCCAGTTATATTAGTATAGTTAAGCTAAGTCAAACAGAGAGACAGTAGTTAAAAGACTTAATTATATTAATATAACAGTTCTGCTTTTACCCTACCTACGCTTCCTCGCTTGCCACGTGTACGTCTGTCGGGGCACCCAAATCCCTTGCGTTAAGTTACGCAAGGGTGTGCCCCGTTACAATATCGACAAGCGTATGTGTCAGGTCATGTGCTTAATTCAAGGTACTAGTCTACCCATGATGCATCGACAGCACCAATGCCCGAACACGCTTTTCTATACGTTTTTTGTGTCGATGCGAAGGACGCTTTGTCCGTCGTCTCGAGCGTCTTCCACATTTCTTACAAAAAGATGTTGTTAACCAATGTATGAGACGGCTAAGGCGACTGGCGCCAGTCAACCTGTTCTATCGGACGGTGCATCTGGACAGCAGGCTTACAACTTGAGTCATGATTGCAAGACAGTGAGGGACGTGCATTACCACCCTCTCTTAGTCTCTTGCCAAATAATCATGGATTCCACCAGGCCAAGCACGCTAGAACCCTCATCATATCATCATGTCATTCTCGGAGTTGACCGGTGTCACCCGAGACGACCTTACAGCGACGAATGTATGTATATTTATCAACGTTGGATCCAAGTGTGTGGCGAGTACGGTGATACAAAGACAGGAGCGACGCTTTCGTGTTTGCGTGACGAAGGCGATCGGCGGCATTGGATAGATTTCTGCGACAAAAAACACATCAAACAAAGTCTCAAGAATCAAAAACTTTGGAGGCAAGCGGTGCAAGTTTGTCGTCAAGTGGCCCTCGTCTTGATTTGCCACAAACACGGCGATACTGACGAACGACATTGCGTGCAAGGATATGACCAACGCTTCTCCGCCCAACCTGTAACCGATTGCAACTGGGTGAAGAAGCAGCTCACGGTGCGCAAAAGTAAGCTAGTTCGTGCAGAGCTCGACGTTTGTCTCTCGAAGTCTAATAGTGAGGATGGTTATGACAATCGCATTGCCGAGCAAACAAGGATCTACGGGACAAGGAATATAGTTTGCAAGACCTTCTTACATCCAAGCACCTGGGCTGGTCTATGGTTTGTTTATAGAAATCAAGAGACACAATTTGACGAGAAGATTCGGTAATTGTTTTGCGTCTTTCACCAGCAACGGCTTACCTTCACGAAAAGCCACGTAAAGGTGAAAACTAAGTAGCTTGTCTCCTGAAGTCGTTGGTGATGTGTGGTTGCGGAACTCAGTGTCTTAGGTTAGAGAGCGACCAAACAGAAGGCAGCGCAGCAGGAAACGCTCTACGGCAACGATTAAGAACATCAACTATAATATTGACATTCGGCAATGAGTAACTAACCACAAGACTGCGTCTCGTTGGATCAGTGAGAATTGCTCACGTTCCATACAAACGTTCCGGCTTGTACCGTGTGCCTTTACACTTCGATAAGCTGCTCGTTTGATATTCGGGACCGCTGAGAAGCGGATGAGTTCAAGTTCATTCGGACGCGCACGAACAACATAAGAACTGATCTCTCGTCCAACACCGCATCGGTACAAACTACTTGCTCCTGCACATGACGTCCGTCGCAACACGAGAATCGGATAAAAGGGCACATACGGCGATATTCGAACGTCTGCCGCATACGACGTACCTCGTGACGATGGTAAAATATCCGACAACCACTAGCACGCACAATTGAACTTTGAACCGCGCAATCAGTTTTGCCCCTTTAGAATTACTTGATTAAAGGTGCTGTCAGCACGAGCTGCAAGCTGAGTAAAGGTGCCTTGCTCCACAATGCGGCCATCGGAGATCACAGCAATGCGGTCAGCGCTTTTGATTGTGGATAATCGATGTGCCACTAAAATCACGGTGCGCCCTTGTTTAGCGCGATGCACTGCATCTTGTACCAGTTTCTCGCTCTCTATGTCCAAAGCTGAGGTCGCTTCATCCAAGATAAGGATTCGGGGACGCTTGACTAGTGCACGAGCAATTGCTACCCGCTGTTTCTGGCCCCCTGAGAGTGCTTGACCTCGCTCGCCAACAATCGTGTCATATCCATCCGGAAAAGACATGATAAAGTTATGTGCGTTGGCAACTTTTGCTGCATGAACGATGTCCTCGAAAGGGACGACTTCTTCTTTACCGCAGCAGCCGTAGGCAATATTGTCTCGAACGGAGCAAGCAAAAAGCGGTGGCTCTTGCGGAACAGAGCCCATCAAGCCTCGGAGCTTCGTCGGGTTCAGCGTGGAAATGTCCACACCATCTAGTGTGATTCTTCCACCACCCCCAGGGCCATTTAACTCGTAAAAGCGCGCGAGTAACGACATCAGCGACGATTTGCCACAGCCACTGCCACCCACGAGCGCCAACGTTTCATCTGGCAGTACCTCCAAATTCAGACCGCGAAAGATCTTTGAATCCGGACGGGCAGGGTATGCAAACTCAACGTCTTGAAACTGGATGTGGCCATGCAATGGATTGGGAATCGGGCTCCATCCTCCTTCAGGAATTAATATGTTTGGCTCACGCTGGAGCAACTCGAACACACGCGAAGATGCTCCAATGCCTTTCATTGATTCGGCATAGAAAGATGACATGCCTGCGACGGAGAATCCCACGTAGAGTGTGTACAGCAAGAAAGAAGTGAGCTCCCCGCTCGTAAGCGACCCCTCCACCACCATTTGTCCTCCATAGCCAAGAACGCCAACCATACTCATTTTCACGCCAAAATCCACGCCACCGAAAAACGTGGCACTTGCAAGCGAGCGCTTGCGCGCCAGTGCCAACGCACCATCAACCTTTTTCCCGTAAGCTTGCACCTCATGCGGCTCTTTCGCAAACCACCGTACCACACGAATGTTACTCAGTTTTTCTTCAGCCACTTCCGTGGCTTCACTTAGCTGCGTCTGCACCTCCTTCGTCAGCTTTTTCACATATCGTCCGTAACTCACCGCACCAAGCGCAATGGGCGGGACGACCGACAACATGACCATGGCCAGTTGTGGACACGTGACAAAGATCATCGTGATGCTTCCTAGCGCCTGTCCAGCGCTGCGTAGCCCACTTGCCGTATTGTCACTTAGGACTTTCCCAATCAGCGTCGTATCTGAACTTAGTCTGTTGAGCAGCTCGCCTGTCCTCGATGCATCAAAGAATCCTAGCTCCTGCCGCAATATCGATGCGTACGTATCTCGTCTCAATCTATTGGTAATTCTCTCGCCAATCATATTGCTAGTGTCCACTCGAATGACATTGGCAATCGACCCAGCAGCAAAGAGACTACCGAGTAGCATCATTACGGTAGACAAGGGCATTGCAGCAGCTGTACCTGCCGTCACGACATCAATGACTTTGCCCATTCCGTGCGGTACACACATGGTGATGAATGTAGAGACGCCTAGGGCGGAGATGGAGATTACTAGAGGCTTCTTTTCTGGATGATAGAGTGAGAGCAATTTTTGCACTCCATCGTGCTTGGAAGCACGAATCTGTAACACACGTGCGACGTTTGAATAAAGCAGTCAATAGTGTTAAATATCTTAGCATAACACACAGGCGTGTATCAATCGAAAACGATAGCACCTCTGAGTGTTTTACACGACAAAGTAGTACCTCATCGTCGATACTAACGGAAGACTCGGATCTGTCCTCTTGACTTTTCGATACAATAGAAAACAAACGAAAGTGCGAGCTCTGGGCAGGCGTGACACAAGGCCAATGCGAGCATCGGCCGGTGCGAACTCGGGCTGGAAACGCCAGCGACCTGTGCAATGTATCATGGAAACAGACAGGAGGTGAGCGCGTGCGGGCGCGTGAGAGAACGATAGAGGTCCCCAACGACATCTGTACCGAGGAAGACGTCGCAGCATTTCGATTGTTAACGTCAAATTCGCAGCGTCACAAAAAAGGCCATCAGGTACTCCCCCCCTCCCCCGAGACAATGACGTCTCGGTATTTTACCGGCCGTGTGTGGCCAAAATGGAGTCAATATAGACGAAAATTCTGCGACTGTTTCTTTTTTTGCGAGCTCTAGTAAAAACGGTCTTTTGTTAGCTCGCGTCAGATATGTGGATCAAAGCTGCATTGAATCGGATTATGCAGCGATTTTGTAGGGATACAAGCCATTGATGATTTGTCAATGTTTCCTCAGGTTTGGTTGGCTGGAATAAAACACGCTGCTACGGCTGGAGGCAAATCAACGACAGCAATGACATGCAGCTTTTCCAGGCAAATCAATCGCATTTCCCGATACAAACTCAGGTTACCAGATCTATACAAGTGCCTAAGTCATGGACGGACATTTCCACTTCGACGCACGGCATGATAACTCAAACTCGAATACTACTGTAAATTGGCGTGCGATCGCTCAGCAGCTACTAATCGTTATGCGCGTAAATCTCCTCAGAACATTGTCAAACACGCTACGGTGCGGTAGATTGGATGCTTCACGATGCGGCGAATCGTTTGCAGGAGAATGACGCATGTAGCTGCCTCTGAGGTTCATTTATACTCTAAAGAGGCCAATAATATTCAGAGTAGCGCTCTGAACGTGAGCTCAAGCCACTGCAAGCTAATAATGGTACAACAGCAAGTTGCTGAGATATAAAGGGAACGTGATGAAACATGCCTGCAACGGATTTCGTAACTCTGGTTAGCTGTAGATAGTCCATGACAATCTGAAATAGATTCAAGAAACAAGAAACGTCATGGTACACAACACAGCAGGTCAATGGTGGACCAATGTACAAGTCGTGCCGGTTGAGGGCAAAAAGATAATATTCTGATTTGCGTTTTAATGCTCATAGAGCCATAGCACGACATCGTGGATACCTAAACAGTTGGATGATCGTCTTAGTAGAGGTATAGACGTAAGCTTGTCCGACAGTTTGAGTGAATAAGTGGACACGGCTCGGTTAAAAGCCCATGGCCGAAGCCCGGGCTTTGCATGGGTTTGAAAATTTAAATGTGTCAACAACGCAATGCCTACAATAGTCGCAAGATTAGGCTAGCACAGTACGAATCATGTACTGCCAAAACAGGACCTGCGATAGAAACGGTAGGCTTCATACAGGTATTTTGCAACGCCTGGGCAGCTTGTGGCATTTCAAGGTAAATCCGGGCCACATACTCCATTACAGGTGTCACAGGTCATTTCTCGACGCCACAAATAAACCAATCTTGTATTCGAGTTATCCTTTCTTCTCGACAAACTCTCTGTGGTAGCTCAGATCAGCGTCTCGAAGGCCTGGTGCATGGCCTAGGTACAAACAGGATTTATTTGGTGCGGCGTCAAGGGAAAGACGATAGTCCTTCGAGACCTGCTCTTTTTGTCATAAACTTTATGTCTACAACTACTTTGAACCGAACCGAGCCATCATGTCGTCTGATCACGTAATGGAGTCATCCACACGCCGGCAAATGTATTTCTGAACTAACATTAGAATGCGTAGCGACACATCATAGAATGCCGTCACTACGTACACAACACCTCACCGTGATCCTTCATGTGCGTGGCACCTTGTCTTTGGGAGGCTCAATTACTTTCAAATCGCCAGAGTGGTTATAGTGCTGGCGGATGTAAATGCGAAAAAGATTCCACCCCAATTCTCTGATATCGGGTTCTGCGCTTCCGTGGGCCGCTTCGATCAATATTTTTTGATCATTCTGTGAGAGCTTGCTCATGATGAACGAGAGTGGTTGGATAGCGTACTCGAGTGGGATTTCCTTGTTCGCTTCATGTATCAACACAATCAAATCATCGTAATCTTGGCTCGCAATGAACGTGTCGATCGACTCCTCGTTTTTCGTCCTTCGATCCATCATATCCTCGAACTTGATGGTCAATTCTTTCCCGGTCTTTTCCGCTTTTTCCGCGAAGGTCAATTCATCATCGGCCGTTTCCGCTTTTCCCGCGAACTTGATGATCAATTCGTTCCCGGTCTTTTCCGCTTTTTCCGCAGACTCCCTTTTGATCCGCGCGAGTTCAGCTGCTTCGTCTCGAGCCCTCCACGTCGCCCTAGTGACCTTTGACGCCGGGAACATTCGCCGTAACCCCCTCACTAAAGACTTTGACATCGAGATACAGCCTCTCTCTTCGGCACCATCGACCGTCGCATTGATCGATTGACGGAACCCGCCGCTAGAGACGTCACCGTTTCTATCAGCGGGCGTATGGTGAGCAAGCGGACTGCTGCTAGACGCGAGGACGATGACGCTAGTCAGCAAGATCGAGTGGAGGAGACGCATTGCTCGAGAGCCAGAGAGAATGGAACGTTTAAGATTACAAATAGAATTTGTCGTAATTAGGGCAGAGAGGAAATGCAGCCTTTTACTGTGAAACTTAATATCCTTCTTTAACTGGATTATACTTTTGACACATGGAGGGATGCGTCGATCTGAAAATCCAGATTGTATGACAATTAACGGAAGGTAAGAACGCCTCAAATCATACAAGCCTACTAAGACGGCAGAATGAAAAGCTATGGAATTGAATTAAATAAAAACTAAAAACGTTAATCATGATATTTAAATGCCTCAACTATGACTACTAAAAGACGTAATAACACAGATACCAGTTTATACCACAACATCCACGTCTGTCCCCTTCATTCCCTCTCAAACTTGATCAATATGTACTACGTGCGACTTGTTTGGTCGGTTGTGTGTGGACATACAGGTGCGTTGGCTACTGAGCCGCATCCCGAATTTCCATCGTTCATCGTATGTAACGCTGCGTTTCTTCTATCTCCTGCATCCGTTCTTATGGCTTGACGTCGCATATATGTGTAGCAGTTGCAGTAGTAATTTGTTATAGATATATATAGCAGTGTCGAATTATTGCTTCACAATGCTGTGCAAAGGATTAGAAAAATACTTCTTGCGGTGGAGTGATCAATACAAAGTCAGTAAGGGAAAACAATATGCTTAAGCGTGACACAAGTTTTAGTGCAATTGGAGGTGGTCATAGTGCACCATTAGGCTTTATTAAAGATTAAGACCGTCTAATGTGTTTAAGACGAAGTGAGTGATCGAGATTGTTCATGTAGGGAGAATGTCTGGCACAGCTGCTGCGCATCGTAAAACTCGTATCTCATTAGAGAATTGAGAGGGAGAGAGGTACATTCAGTGTACCACCTTCCATGATGTTATGCAGATAATTTGAAAAAAAACAGTGGATATCATAGTGATAGTAAGCGAAATGCTAATCGATAGTTTCGGTCATCACAAATAATGCTGCTACTAGTGATAGCAATGCTGGTATTCGTCTGGATATATCCACGTAGTAGCTATGAAAATAGATGCAAATGTTGCCTCCCGCTCTCTAAGTGAACGACGTAATACACACAAGCTTAGCTTCTTGTTTCTCTAGGTGCGTCTCGAACACGACACAAGTCGACACTATCATAAATATATAGGGCAATGTCGCAAGAATCGATAACCGCCAACGCTACGATCAAATACGACAAATGAAAGAGGTTCACCTTCCTTCTGCTTCCCATTTTAGCGGCAACATGCCGTCGGGGACCTACACTTGATATTATGTACTTTTACCAGTAATTACCTGGGTTGCCTCTCCAGAACGCAACCTGGGCAATCGACTGACCCTCTGCAATTTCATGTCTATCAAGCATGTAGCGGTATCCGTGGTACAGTATCATTGTCTATTTTGACATATTCTTAATCTTTGCGCCGACTCAAATAATGACGCTCACGCCATTAAACTATGCATCATGTGGCAAGGGTTCTAGATGACATCACCAGTTATACGATGTGAAACTGCAAAACGCATATATACAATTGTCCAACCCGAGATCGCTAAACCACTGACTTCTCAATCCGATATAATTTACTGGGACACTTGCTGCATATCAATGACACTATCGGTATTGAGAAACAATTAAGTTGTTTGTACCGTCAAACGTAAGTTTTACGTTGGTCGTGTATTTTATATGGGAAATAAAAATGTACTCGATAATCATGAGTCTAAAATAAAGTAATATTATTAAAAACAGTATTAGTATAGAAGTTAAAGCAATGCACCAAGAATTTACCAAAGAAAAAAAATGCATTAGCAATATGTAAGTGAGTTTAAACACATATATGCGTAGAATCACATTAGAAAGTACGGTTGTTGTCAATGAAAGTTGTAGATTTGTCGTAGCAAATCGAAAGCGTTGAGCACATCGGATAAGTCTTTGATTCCGTTGGTCAGTTCTTTCGATATTATGATAATTAAAGACACACAAAAGATTCCCGCAATAAAATCTAAACGACAACTCGGCATACAAAATGCCGTGAGTAAGCGTTTCAGTTCACATCAGTAGCTTGAATCCTTTTTTTGTGCGCAGCAGGTTGCTGTAGCCGCATAATATTGCGCTTATTTCGGTTGCATCGGTTAACAAGCGTTACACACACATCTTTACGATTTTCGGGTCAATTTAACAGTTAAGCAAGCGTGATCTCCATAGTGTCGCCACACAGCCGCAACAGCAAGAGTCTTATCGGTTTTGTAATTTAGAAAACACACTGATAGACAGTGGAGAACATTCAACATCGACATATTTGTGATTCAAATTAAGGTTTATTATAGCCACAAAATCGTTAAAGCTTTTTCGTGATCGGACAACATCTATCTTCGATGAATTTCTTTTTTGACGCTTTTGCATTTTTATGGCAAATGCTTTTCTTGTCCTTTTGTTAGCTCAACGTTCGTACTTTACAATTTAGTCATGATGGTCTTTTCCATTTCTTATGTTCGAGAATCTGCATGACCAACCAGAAATATCACGAAAAAATTCTGTCAGCTCTCCGGTACATTTCCTGCTCTCCTTTCCTTATATATACTAAATAAATAATTTCTTGATTCGTAACTTAAACACAGAATCATGAATTGTGTATGCTCCATCGTCACACATTCAGTCTCACCGCTTTCAAGAAACATGATACTACCAAGAAGAAATCTACATATTACGACTATGCTAAACCAGTAAGATCTGAATTAAAACGATAGAAAGAAGGTACACTTGCACACGAGTAAATGCAATATAAGAAAGCTACGCTTCAAGAGTCAAAACACATCATTGTTCATGCGTAACGACTAATAACGACAATTTTTGAAAGAGCTTCATTAATATGAAAAGCAATAGGATGAGTTGAAAAGAATATAATGATTTGTATTGACAATAATATCTACCTATGTCAGCTTCATCTTAGAATTTCTAGTCTAATGCAGCTCCGCTACAATATTGTTTGCCTAAAAAGGTATAGGTCAAGTAAATTGAATCAATTTGCTTACCTACTATTGAGTTACTTGATTATCAGCAAACGGTAAAGATTGTCTCGAGAATGTTGTGTCACTGCTGAGACAATCCTATACCGACATGTGTAATGAACTTAAATGCACATAGCTTACTCACGCGGAGTTATTTATCGTATCATGGACATGCGAACACAAGCATTCATGTTCTGAATGACTTCACGAGTTCAAAGGTGTGTATACAATGACAGAGAGTGAGTATAGACATGAATTTATGGCTGTGCAAATGTGTACATCCAACCATACATGCCTTCCAAGAGAACGAATTGAAAACGATTTTCAAAGCCTTTTTACGAGCTTACGATTGAATATGATGTCCAACCAGCACGTTATGGATTCATTTATCGATCGAGGACTTTGAACATGATCAAAACAATGCGTCCCAGCATAATCTTTTCTTTTTCGTTTCTATACAATATTAAATAATAATTTTGATCAGGTATTTGTTGGACCTATATTCATTTTCCCTTTAACTCACCTCGCGTTGTGTGCACTAATGGTATACCCCACGGCATTCCACAGTAATTTTACTCGTTAATAATAAGGTGTTATACCAAATTTTTTGTAAGTCAGTAATGTTAATGAGCTTTACTACGCACATGCTCAGCCGCCGCGAATTTCGGCGTCGCGATTTTGGCTAAAAGCATTGCACATTTAAACATCCCACGCAACATTACTGCCTTAAGGATATATCACAAATTAAAAACATTCAGCAAAAATGACCTAGATGCAAGTGCCTAGTCGTATCCTCTCGTTCGCCACTAAATGCAGACTAGTTGAGGCAAAATGCTTCGCGGCGGGAAAATAGCACGTATATATCCAACAACAAGATGAGAGTATCGAAATGGGTTGTTATGGTCCAAAGCATAACATTTGCTTGCTCCCTCAACCATCCAGTACATAATAGCTAAGAGGTACTATATCCGCTGCCCTTATGTCAATCGACGGACGCATCGTCATTACACAGAATTTACTCTCCTCTTACTTCTATTAATACATTTTTGCTTCGTTTTTACTCTCTTGATGACGTAAATAGATATTCTCAAAATAAATGTCATTACCCATTTTCGATAAAAAATTGAGGTGAAGCTAGTGAAAGAAACTTATGGACGATCGGTCGAGAGAATAGCGTTATATCGTTGTATAATTCGCTAAAAAGATGGACAAAACTTATGGAGGAGACATAAATGTTGTCGAGAATGACAAAAGGGGCGATATACCCATTTTGAAGTGGAGTACATTGATCACAAATCGATTATCTCGTTTGAACTATTGGATCGATTTCCCTAATCGAATGACATGAGTCAGAGAACTGTCGACAAATCGGGCTTAATTTGATCGAAATTTGACAAAGAAGGAGCATAGTGGCATTTATATAATTAAAACACGGTGTGATCGGTACAATTAATTGTGCTGAAAGCAGATGTTTCAGTCGCAATCTTGATCCGAGTGATGCGGTCGTGACCGCGATCTGGAGCGATTTGATCGTAATAGCAGCCTAATTTATCAACACGATCCAGTGCGGCCCAATCGAAATCAAGCAGGGCGATGAAATTTTTTTATATCATAGACAAGACAAGATCCTTCCAAAAAGGATGAATCGTGGCAAAAGATCTTAAATATAGATATGCATGATATAGTTGTAATAATCGGTTGGTTAACAGATACATAGCTTGTATTATTTAAAAGTCACGTGTTCGCATTATTTCGATGTTGTAATCTTTGG